ACTACTACTACTACTACTACTATTACTACGACTACTATCACGACTACTGCCACTACTACTACTACTCCTACTACTACCACTACTGCTACTACTACTACTGCTACGACGACGACTACTACTACTACTTCTTCTTCGACTACTACTACTACTACTACTACTACTACTACTACTACTACCACCACCACCACTACTACTACGACGACTACTACTACTACTACTACTACTACTACTACTACTACTACTACTACTACTACGACTACTACCACTACTACCACTACTAACACCACCACCGCCAATATGACTACGACTACGACTACGACTACGACGACAACGACGACGAGGATGACGACGAGGACGACTACTACTACTACTACTACTACTACTACTACTACTACTACTACTACCACAAATACTACTACAAACCAGCATTCCGACGTTGCAGCAAAAAGAAACATTACAATTAATCACGACCAGCGCCACTGAACCCCAGCTTTCTGCTGCGTTTTTTTCGGGGCGGATCGGTCTGAGATGGCCCCAGGGCCCGAAACAGGGTGAAATCCTCCGATGTGAAAGAACACAACGCCAGGATTCAAAAGACTCCTACCGATACGCCTACTTCTACTACGACGACGGATACGACTACGACAACGACCACCTGCCACTATGACTAAAACTGGCACGACGACGACGACGACGACGACGACGACGACGCCGACGACGACCTGGGGAAGTGCGGGCGGGGCGCCTCCGTAGAGCCGCCGTCCCCGTCCGCCGCCGGCTCGGGCGCGCCGGCCGCGGTGGCTTCCGCGGCCGACGGGCACCTCCGCAGCGCGCGAGCGCCCGCCCCCCGAGCGAGGAGGAGGAGGAGGAAGGAGGAGGAGGAGGAGGAGGAGGAGGAGGAGGAGGAGGAAGGAGGAAGGAGGAGGAAGGAGAAGGAGGAGGAGGGGAGGAGGGAAGGAGGAGGAGGAAGGAAGGAGGAGGAAGGAGGAGGAGGAGGAAGGAGGAGGAGGATCGACGAGTGTGGGGTTGACAACCTACCAGACCACCCCAACCCAACCCGAAGACCCGAATCTGGCCCGAGTTTCGGGGTTGGGGGGGGGGTGCGGGTTCCGTGTGTTTTCTCAATGTTCCCCGACCACCCCCCACACTGGAAACGGAGGGCAAATCGAGGCCTTCGGGCTGGGTTGGGGTGGCTTGGCAGGCGGTGAGGGGTGGCGGGGGGGGGAGGGGGGGGGGGCGGGGAAGACGTGCACCGCTCGTGCCCCTCCTGGGCCCCCAGGGGGGCCCCTGGAGGGCTCCCCCGGGGCAGCAAGAGGCGCACCCGCCCCCCGAACGTTGCTGAACAGGGGATCGACCAGTGAGGAGTGGCGGGGGGGGAGTGGGGACAACGTACACCGCTCGTGCCCCTCCTGGGCCCCAGGGGGCCCCTGGAGGGCTCCCCCAGGGCATCGAGAGGCGCCCCCTTCTTCGCCCCCCCAATTCACCGCCCCCGCGCGAGGAGGAGGAGGAGGAAGGAGAAGGTCGGGCGCTGCTGAACAGGGCATCGACGAGTGCGGGGTGGCGGGGGGGGGGGGGGGAGGGGGGACAACGTGCGCCGCTCGTGCCCCTCCTGGGCCCCCAGGGGGCCCCTGTGGGGCTCCTCCGGGGCATCGAGAGGCGCCCCCTTCTTCACCCAGGGCTCCTCCAGGGCATCGAGAGGTGCCCCTCTTGGGCCCCAGGGGGCCCCTGCAGGGCTCCCCCAGGGCAGCAGGAGGCGCCCCCTGCTTCGCCCCCCCCCTTCTGCGCCGCCCCCGATGCGGGCCTTGCCACTTCTCCGTGCTCGGCGCTGCCGCCCGGCCTCGGGCCCTTGGGAGCATCGCAGATCCATCCCCCGGCTCGAGAAGCGCCGCGGACAGATTGGGCCTACACCCTAGGCGATGCTTAAGAAAACTGAAGTTTTCGGCCGGGGTCTCGATGATTCTTAATGTTTCGATGTAAATCCTAAGATTTTGATAGAAATTCTGGGTTTGTATTCAAATTCTGAGACTCTGCATCTCTTAACCCATGATTTCTTAAGCATTTCGCAGGGTGTAGGGCTCCGGCCATGAACTTTCGCGATGCTGCATTTTTGTTCGCAGCATCGTGGGGGGGAGGCGGAGGAGGAGCAGGGGTGGAGAGAGGTTCGTGGAGGTGGCTTTCATAATTGTCACCCAAGGCTCCCCGAGGCTTCGAGGGGCTCGGCCCGCACACCCCGCTGTTCACACAGGCGATGCCACCGCCGCTGGGCGCTTCAGGAAAGCAGCTTCCATGCCATAATCGAGGCGGGTCGCAGGAGGAGCACGCAGGAGGAATTCGCGGGCGGATAACCACAAAGAGAGCCTGGCGTTAGGTCGGGCCTGTCCTCCTACAGTGGGATCTTGGGCGACAAATGAAAAATACCCCACAAATATTCCAAAAAATCATCAAAGATAGTCCAAAAATCGTCCCTGGACTACGTCTTGTAACTATTTTTGAATATTCCTCCTGTAGAGGGACAGGCCCGGCTTCAGCCTGGCGGGCCGCCACGGAGGCTGCCTTCCCGCCGGATCCTGCCCTCCCCGCGGCCGACCGTGGCCCTCGAGGGGCCCCCTGGTGGCCAGGGAGGAGGTCCGTCCGAGCCCGAAGAAGGCTCGGGAGGAGGGAGGGGAGGAGGGGGAAAACGACGGGGGCGGAAAAGACGAGGAGGTCTGGAGGAGGCAGGGAAGAGGGGAAACATGACAGGGAGGCGGGCGGAGGGAGGGAGGGGGGAAGGCGACGGGGAGGCGGGACGAGGAGACCTGGGGGGGGAAGGTGGGGCGGGGGAGGAGGGACCCGGGGAGGTCCGGAGCGCGCCGACGGCGCTGCGGTCTGCCCGCAGCCCCCCCCGACCCCCTCCCGACGAGAGCAGTCCCTGCAGCCCCGGAAGCACCCCGTGTGGGCCCGCCGCTCGGGCGAGGGCGCCGTCTCGAGGAGGGCCTGCCCGGAGTCACGACTGGCGACGGTCCTCGGCCTGGCCTTAAGGCGGTGGACAGACCTCCCTTTCGTAGACCTCCCCGTAGTGAAAAGGGCCTGGGACCGAAATCGACGGGCCTGGAGCCGCAAAAATGGCGGCTGCGACGCCCTCTCGCGAGCCGAAAACGGCCAATTCCTTCATCGACGTGTCAGGGTAGGAGGTCTGTCCAACCCCGAGACCTTAGGGCACGATGCATAAGGAACGAAGGCCTTTTTTTTCCAGGGAGTAACGCATGGGGAACGATAAAGAAAATCAGTAACGCATAATGGACGAGAGAGTTTGAGGAGGAAGTGTTTCTGGTCCAGGGACATGACTCACGAGGGTCCCGTTCTGAAGAGAATTGCCCTCCGCCCGTGTGACTGCTGCACTGGACTGGAATCCCAGCAGCCCTCTGAGCGTAGATGGTTTCACGAACTCAGTCTTCTTTGTGCCAGAGCTCCCTTCTTCCCCTGTCCGGGGGAGGGAGTGACCCTTCCCCCTACCCCCTCCTCTGGGCTTGGGACGGGGGGTGGGGAATAGAGCACCCAAGATGGCCCAAGATGGCTCCAAGATGACCTCAAAAAGCACAAGAAGACCTCCAGGATGGCTCAAGAGACCTCAAGATGACTCAAGATAGTCTCCGACTAACATCGCAGAGGCCTCAAGACAGCCCCAAGACGGTTTCAAGTGCCCTCCGAGCCCTCCAAGGACCTCCCGAAGAGGCCAAAATTGATCCAAAACCGAAGGGGCATCAATATTTGTTGCCTTCTCGCCTTCTCGCTTCCGATGGGCTTTTGAGGCCTGACGATGGCCCGAAGACGGCCCAAGAGAGCCCCAAGAAGGGCCCAAGAGAGCCCCAAAACGGCCCCAAGAGCGCCCAAGAGCGCTCCAAGACGGCGCCAAGGCGCCATTTTGGAGCATCCGAGGGGGGGTGCTGAATTGAGGACCCACCCTCTCTTTTTGATCAGTGTGCCCAAAAGTGCCTCAAGAGACCTCCCAGACCACTCAACAGAGCTCTCGAATGGGCATCATAGCCGGCTCAAAATCAAAAGAGGCATCATAGCCTGATCGTTCATCATATAATTGACTTCATTCCATGCGTAGCATCTTCTCCCCTAATGGACCGTGAAGGGGAGGTCCCCTGCTGGTCAACCAGTGCCGCCATCGTAGTTAACCAGAGGGGCCATCGTAGGGACCTCGCACCCAATACGAGGCCACTAGAAAAGGCTCGTCTTGGGAAGAAGGACCATCACAGGCCTTCGCGTTCAATGCCTTACCAGTGAGGACCGCCATGGGGCCTCGCACCATCCGCAGCTTCCATCATAGGGGCTGCGGAGGGAAAAATCCCCAACGAACCTCACACCGACGACTTCAACGACGACGACAACGACCACCCATACCACGACTGTGACTACCAGAGCGAGTTGACGCAACAACACGCGTGCGTGAAGTTGCGACCGAGGTAGTCGTACTGCCTCTCGAATGGCTGAACCGGGGGGATAGGAGCGGGCTTTTCAACGGGCGCGTGACGCCGCGAGGTGGCGCCAGGTGCGGCGTGACTCCCCGCTCGTGGACCGCCCGCTCGTCGTATCGTGGGTTATCTCGCGCCTGGACTAGGATGGTGAGTTTAGTTTCTCTCACGGCCCTTTTCAGGTATCCTTCTTTCTCCCCACCGGTGAAGATCATCATAGGCCTTGCCAGTGAGGACCGCCATAAGGCCTCACACCCTCCGCAGCTTCCATCATGGGGGCTGCGGGCGAAACCGACGACGGACGTCGAGGACCACGACTTCGGCGACGCCGACGACCACGACTGGGACTACTAGTACGAGTGGGCGCCGCTGCACGAGTGCGGGGGTGTACGTACGTGAGACTTGCGCTACCTCTCAAAAGGCTGCCCACGGGGGAATAGGAGCGGGTTCGACGCGGGCGTGACGCCGCGAGGCGACGCCGGGTGCGGCGTGACTCCCAGCCTGAGGAACGTGGATTCTCCCGTGCTTGGGTTTGGACGGCTGTTCTTAGTTTCCCTCACTGCCCTTCTCAGGTGTTCTTCTGCCCCCCCACCGGTGAGGACCATCATAGGCCTTACCAGTGAGGACCGCCATGAGGCCTCACACCCTCCGCAGCTCCCATCACAGGGGCCGCGGAGGGCAAGTGGCCACGAACCTGGCACCCTACGTGCAGTGCTAGGGGTGGCGGGCCGTCTTCCAACCCCACGGTCAAAAGGGGATGCGAAGCCCCTGAAGACGGGACGGGGTGGGCACGAATGGGCATCATAGCAGGCTCAATATCAAGAGAGGCATCATAGCCTCATCGTGAATCTCATCATTGACTTCATTCCATGCGCAGCATGTTCGCCCCGGGAAGAGCTCCAAGAGGGCCCCAAGAGTGCCCCAGGTGGCCCCGCGAGGACCCCAAGGGAGACCCAAGATGGTTCCAAAAGACCTTCGAGAAAACACATCCAAGGCGGTTCTTACACTGCATGCTTCTACACTTCCCTGGTCAAGGCAACTCGCCTGGCAATATGTTTCTGGATGGGTTGGTGGGGATGCGCGAAGCGTCAAAAATTGCCCTCCGCTCATGTGACTGTCGCACAAGACTGGAAGCGCTGATTACGAATGTGTGCGGCGTTGGAGCGAGAACCACATGTTGAAAACGTGCCGCACTCGATCCGCAAGTGAAGGAAGGGCCAGTGTCATGATCAGAACCTGTACTGTCCAAGACAAAAACGCCAGAAGCGCCCTACCGACACGCCTGGTGGTACGACGAGTATGAACGTATAGAGACGACGTGTGCAGGATATGATGTTGGAGGACAGGTGAAGGAACAAGGAACAGGGAGAAGCCAGGAGGGAGGATAGAAGAGGGTGGCCAGCACGATGTCTTTGGTGGCTCGGGCAGGAAACGTGCCCTTACTCCATCGGCGGACCGACACTGAGCAACAAACACGAGCAGTGGTAAAGACACATCCAACCAATCTTGACTGTAGCAGTGTCAGCAGACATCTGAAAATGAAGGCAGCGCGATCGTTTGTTACAACCAAGTCCCATGGATGCACCAGCCGGAAAAACTTACCCTTCTTCAACAAGTTTAGGTGCCGCTGGATAAAGATCGTGGAATGTGGACAATCACGGGAATACGTAGGAACATGTATTCGAGAAAGAGTTCAAGTGAGCTGCAGCGATATGGCTATATGCCATATCAGGTCCGTCCAAGTGTAACCTGTTTGTTTTCAGGATGCAGCAAAGGGCCTCCTCCATGCATTCGCTTCCATGTCATCCTCCTTCTCCCCTTCTCCACTTCCTCAGCCCTCCCTTCCCCTTCCCGCTTTCCCTCCGCCCTCGCCCTCTAGCTCACCTCCCCCCAGCTCGTCATGCTCGCATCGGCAGAGGCAACGACGCCTCCCGAGCCACGCACGCAAGCGAACTGGCCCGGTGCAGAGAAAGCCTGACGCGGGCGAGCTGCGGGGCGCACGCCTCAGACTGCTAGCGCGTCGGCTCTGGGGGGACCCTTCCCCACGGACGGACACATCGCCCCCCGCGCTCGGGGCTCCCATCTGCCAAAATGGAGCAGCCAGATGGAGGGTACAATAACCAGCCTCGAGCTTACCCCCAGCCCCAAGATTGACGAGCCTTGAGCGGACGAGTCTCACGAAGAAGTGCCATCAGAAGCGGAGGGAATCCCGAAGATCGGCACCGAGAAGAGGTGATGTCATCCACAAGGGATCGGGGTACGTCTCAGGCTGGCAATACAAGGGAGGGCGGATGCCTGGTATAGTAAAGTTTCAGGTTGCGCAAAGAAAAGACAGCCCCACAAGGAACGCCCCAGGGGCGCCGCGGGAGGCGGGAACAAGGTGGTGTTGAGACCACCCCGGGCTACTCGGGGGGCTTACTGAGGCCAGCCGGGACTACCTGGGGGGGCTGTCTGTGCGCCACTCGACGCCTGACCAGCCTGGTCCCAGACATCCGATGAGTTGTTTTTTTAATACGAGGTTCTCGGAAACCCCGACCCTTTCCCCATGGGTCGGCTTGTCATGTCTTTCTTTGACGGTCCCGGGGCCCGGCAAGGGCCCCCACGGGACGCAAACCGCAGATGAAAACCGTGCCCTGAGATCCGACGGCGTGAAAAAGCACAACATATCCTGCAAACTCACGACCAGGGCCCCAGACCTCCTGCGGCACTTCCTCGAGCTAGATCGACATGCGAGGGCTCCAGGGCCCATAACTGGTCGAAAGCGCCTGGCTGAAAAAGTTCCAGCGCCCGGATCTGACGGTCCTCCTCCTCCTCCTACGCCTCCGCCTCCGCCTCCGCCGCCGCCGCCGTCTCCTCCTTCTCCTCCTCCTCCTCCTCCTCCTCCTCCTCCTCCTCCTCCTCCTCCTCCTCTCAGCCTCCTCCTCCTCCTCCTCCTCCTCCTCCTCCTCTCAGCCTCCTCCTCCGCCTCCTGCTCCTCCACCTCCTCCTCCTCCTCCTCCTCCTCCTCCTCCCCTCGCGGATCCCCGGCGCGCGGGCAGAAGAACAGCAGCCCCGCCGCTGGTTTTTACCAGCCCGCCAGAAGTCCCCGCCGGCGGGGGCCCGCGGCGCGGGCACGCCGCCGGGCCGCCCAGGGGGGCGGGACCCCCCGCCCGCACGCGCGGGCGGAGGGGGCGCCGCGGCGGGGGGGCGGGGGACGGGGCCTCGCTGCCACGCGGCCCCGCCGGGCGGCTCCTGGCGAGCTCGTCGTCGTCGTCGTCGTCGTCGTCGTCGTCGTCGTCGTCGTCGTCGTCGTCGTCGTCGTCGTCGTCGTCGTCGTCGTCGTCGTCGTCGTCGTCGTCGTCGTCGTCCTCGTCGTCCTCGTCGTCCTCGTCGTCGCCCTCCTCCTCCTCCTCCTCGTTGTCGCCGTCGTCGCTGTCGTCGTCGCCGTCGTGGTCGTCCTCGTCGTCGTCGTCCTCGTCGTCGTCGTCGTCCTCGTCGTCCTCGTCGGCGTCGTCGCCCTCCTCCTCTTCCTCGTTGTCGCCGTCGTCGCTGTCGTCGTCGACGTCGTGGTCGTCGTCGTCGTCCTCCTCGTCGTCGTCGTTCGCGGCATCGCTGGCCCTTGACTCAGCAACTATCCGCAAGCACTGCCAGGCGGGCGAAGAACGAGATGCGAAGGGAATTCGGCCGACCCCGTGCTAGCCCTCGCCGTGCTGAACCGAGACTGGGAGGAGAGAATGGCTGTGCTGGCCAACTGGAACGTAGGGACGGGCATCGTGCAGTGTGCCCGCCCCGTCGGGAATCCATCCAGTAACTGACACAAGAGGCTCCACAACTGTATTGCCTTTTGGGAGGAAAGTTTCGTCTAAGGAGGGCTACCCGACAGCCCAGAGCGGCGTCAGTAAGGCCAAACAGGACCCACAACGACGCGAGATAACCCAAGGGCAAGCCAAAGAGACCTCAGGATGGCTGCACAGGCTCCCAAAGGGCCACGAGAGGGCCCCAGGACCCCCAGGCAGTCAGCAGCATCAAACCATAAGCTGGTTTGTAGTTTCCTTGGGGACGCAAATGAAATCAAGACTGCCTTGGAGGACGCAAGGATGGAACAAGCGGGGTGTCCGAGAGGGTCCAAGAAGGCACCAAAACGGCCTACGATGACCTCAAGAGGGCTCGAATACGGCTTCCGTGGGGCCGCCAGGACCAGGAAACCCCGAACGGGCCAGGCGGCCGCCAAGAGACGGACCCAGCATCCCTCGAGGACGGCCGCAGTGGCCCCAAGGAGGCCCCCAGAGTGCTCCAGAGGGCCCCAAGACGGGCCGAAGACGAGAACAAGTGGCCGACCAGTCTCGTCGAAACCGCACGTGTCCGACCCATCTCGTCGAGACCGAGAGAGATTCGCGCATAGACCTCGCACTGGTGAAAAAAAAACCGATCTGCACACACACACACACACACACACACAAAAAAAAAAAAAAAAAAAGTTCGGACGTGTGCGCGGATGACTTGGATCGGCGCTGGAGCCACCTCCCTGGCGCGCTGAGCGCGCCACGGGCGGCGCCGGAGGCGCAGCCACGGGGGGCCCAATGCCGACCCAAGAATCCGGACCTCCGAGTAGTATGCGGGTGCTTGTTCTTCCGACCGGGGAGCCCGAGACGACTCGCGCTCTGCTGGCTCAGTGGTTCGGTTCGTCCTGGTCAACGCCACGCGTCATCAGACTCCGTAGGAACGAGGCAAGGCGATTCAGCCTGAGTAAGGCGCCATTGAGCCAGAGCAGCCCAGACGACGTCCAGGATAAAGCCAAATCAAGCGGGATTGCGCCGGAGCAAAGGGACGATGCCGGATTAGGTTAGTTTTCAGCCACGGATATACCTGCGCCACGGGAGCCCGCACTAAACAACAAATCACACGGGTCGGAGTCCGCATGCACGCGAGAAGGAGCAGCGAACGCGTGAACTACTGAAGCCGCCTCCAATGGCGCGGCAGGAGCATCCCAGAAACAGGTTGGCCGAACACCCAGGCATTAGAGGCATCATCCACCTCTCAACGGTAGAAAGCAATATCAAAACACCTACGAATGTATCGCGGGCGTCTCGTCCTGCACTCAATCCTACATGATTGCCGACATTCAGCGACGGGAAACATTCGATACTTTGATTGTGTGCGGCGCTTCCAGTAGCTTGACCGCCACACTCGCCACCACTGTGATATATAAGCTTTTCCGAGGTCGCAAAGGTGACGAAGCAAAGAATATGCATGCAATACGGGAGCTCACAATAGACACACATACACCCTCGACATCCGTGGAACGCATGGAACAATGAAGCCGCCTCCAATCGCGTGGCACAATCAGGTTTGACTCAATTGGGACGAGCACTCCGGCATTGAACGGCGCCCGCCTGGATATGTCAAGAACCACCAACAAAAAAAGAAGCTGCATCGCCGTCGTCTCGTCCCGCCGTCAATCCCTGGACGTTGTCGACATTGAAAGGCGGACATCGCTGAATGCTATTCCTTCGGGAAGCGCTTCTGGCGTCGTGACCTGAACACGACACTTGTCACGACTGGTCTGTGATATGAGCAAGTGACGCTGCATTTGCAGCAAGCGCGTGTCCGAACGGTTGGAGGTTGGCAGACTCGTCTGGTCAAGCTGCACCCCATGGGAGGCCCTCATCGTCCTCCTCCCGTCGGCTCCCTCCTCCTCCTGCTCCTCCTCCTCCTCCTCCTCCTCGTCCTCCTCCTCGATTCCTTGTCATTATAAACATTTTTTCCCTGTCGCACCCCGAGGCCGGCTTTTAGGGCGGGCCGGGCATTTCGCCTGACTTCGCCTGAGAAATTCGCAAAGAGCTTCACAGATGGAGGGCGGGTTGTTTTCAAGATGTGGCTCTCGCCTTAGCGCCGCGCACACTCGTTCTTTTAATTCGCAAGAGTTTCACGGGTTTACGGCGAATCATTTTCAAAATGTGGCTCTCGCCTTAGCGCCGAGCACATTCGTTTTCAATATGTGCGAGAGCTGCACGGATTGATGGCGGTTCCTTTTCATAATGTGGCTCTCGCGTAGCGTCGCGCAAATTTGTTTATGAATTTTGCAAGGGTTTCATTGATTCCCATGATCAACGTACCAGACATGGTGTTTCGGAAGGACTCATGATTATGCGGGTGCAATTATGTTGATTCGGGGTGTTGAAGTCCCAAGAAAGGCGTTCTGGCACGATTCAGGAACGTGAAGAAACAACAGTCAGGTTGATACGCGGCGTTGCAATCCCGAGAACAATGTTTTGGCATGCTTCAGGACCTTCAAACGGTTGTCGTCCAACGAGGCAGTTCCCTCAATGAGAATGAACCACTGTAGGGGCATATGAAGAGGGAGCTTGGAGGGAGGGTGTACTACAACTTCTTTAATAACTCTTGGATTTACACTGGTCCTCCTCCTCCTCCTCCTCCTCCTCGTCCTCCTCCACCTCCTCCGCCTCCTCCTCCTACTCCTCGTCCTCCTCCTGAGGGCCGATGTTAGGATCAGGGGGGGGGCCTGGCTCAGGGGAGGGGAAACATCGGCATGGAATCGGCGATACCTCGCCGAGAGATCGGCAATAGGCCCCTGGCAGCGCATCCGCACGCTCGTGGACGGGGTGGGCCACCGGGCACCCCCCGGCGAGGAATGGGCGATCGGGGGTCGACGCATTCCCCCCTAAGCCGATCCCCCCCAGAAAAGCACGTTACCCCTGACCCTCTCTCTCCCGCCCCCCTCCCTCCCCCACCCCCACGCCCCCTCTGGAGGCCTCCCAAATAGCGTCCGAGCGTATGGGGACGGAGGATGGAGTCGCATCGCCGACACGTCGCCGATGCATCGCCGATGCATCGCCGATGCGTCCGATCCTCCGACCCATCCACTCGAACCCCCTCTGACAGTCTTGGATTCCCCCCCTCTCCCCTCCCGCGAGGAGGAGACAGACCGAGCCTCCCCGTGGTTTCCGGATCAGTCGGGAGCGGCCAAGAGGGGGGTGTCCAAGAGGGGGGGGGTGCAAATCATGACCGGCGGCATGTGCGCCGCCCAGCGGGGGGGCCAGGGACGTAATGAAATAAGAAGAGGCGCCATGAAATCTGCGGAAATATCATGACCCCCGCCATGATATCCACCCCCCCCTAGTCATCACCCCCCTCTTTTCTGCCCCCGAATCATAACTCGTAACTCGACTCTCTAACGGCGTCCGGGGCGATCCGGGCACCCTCAGAACTCCCTCGGCGAGGCGCAGCCGCTGGAAGGCACCCCCGAGGCTGGCACGCCGCCGAGGGAGCAAGAGAAAACGTCTGAAAACATCGGGCCTCGGACCCTCCGTCTTTCGCTCCCCTCCTCCCCTCCCCCCACCACCACCACCACCAGCACGACCACCACCACCAGCACCAGCACCAGCACCACCACCACCACCAGCACCAGCACCAGCACCACCTAGCTTGCCCCCCCCCCTCCACAATTACTCCATATGAAAATACTCTCCCTCTTCCCCTGATGGCGTCCGGGTGATGGCCGCGCACCCTCCGCGTACTGTTTTTTTACACACGGGATGCCCGGGAAATCCCGGGAAACGACTCTCGCTGAGGCGCCGGCGTCATTTTTTCCCAAAATACTGCTCTCGTTGAGGCGCCGGCCTCATTTCTGCTCCCGAATCGTTCCGAATCGTGCTCCCGCTGCAGCGTGGGCCTCATTTTCGGATCGGTGTTTGGCCTCCGTCGTTCAGGATGGCGTTCTCGCCCCAGCGCGGGCCTTTTTCTCGCGCGCCCATCCGCCCGCCACCACCGCGCCGCACCGCCACCACCACCACCACCCACCACCACCACAACCACACCAGCACCAGCACCAGT